AAGGATTCGTATGTTTGGAAGGCGAGATAAATATAAAGAAAGGAAATGTTTATTCAATCAAATCAATATTCATTTCGCTTGAATTAAAAATCTTTTCAGATTCATTTCATTGAAAAATCTTGAGAAGTTTGAACAACTTAAAAAGTAAAGAATCATTGATTCCATTACTCTCTTGCCAGTAAATATTTGAATAAAGTGAAGTCCAATCATACAAGTCCTTATATGTGTCTTTTTCTCTTTCAAAATGTAATTTGTAGTATAGTATATTTTAGTATTGAAGTCACAAATGGTGATTAATATCTGATCGACGCTCTCTTACGTCCTATATTGACAATGTATTTGAAGATGAGTCCGTTGGAGGAGCGCCAACTCTTTCTCGCTCTTGAAAACAATGAAGCTTGCAAACTTCGTAAATTTCTCATATATTTTTTTCTGGCAATTTTATTTCAAAATTGTATAAATCAAATAAGTTTTGCAATAGTAGTAATGAAAATAATTAGTAGAATTTATTATAAATAAAAAAAATTGGAGTAACAACAACACACAAATATTTGAACGTTTAACACAAAATGAATTTCGGGCGCTCCTCTATTACTTTTTTTAACTGGCAATATTTTAAATTTTACTTTTCCGCACACCCACTGTGTGCAGTAAATTATTGCAATCACCCCAAAATTTTGAAAAAATGGTTTTTCTATGCGTTTTTGGTATAGCGAAGCACAGAGCAACGGTTTTTTGGCCATGTTAATGTGGGGATGTGGTACACTGTACACTGTACCCTGTATGGTGTAAGCAAATAATCAATAGGTAATTTGTTAGCACGATAACTCTTCTTAGAGAAAAGCAAATCCAAATCTGATTTTACAGGGTGATTGGGGGTTGCGAGGAATAGGCTGGTATTGTTTTTCAGCGATATTCGCTAGGGGGAGATTGCGAAACAACTTCGAAAAAGAATATAAACAAATATATACGAATATGCCACCAATATATTCCAATATACTTAACAAAACACTTTAGCTATTAGAGTATTACTCTTGTTACTTAAACGACTCATTGTAAAAATATTATTGAAAAGAAAATGTTTTAATGAAAAACCAAAAAAATGGTTTTTTCTTGATTTGTATAATTAAAAAAAATGTTTAATTTTATTTTTTTATTTTTTATTGTGTGTTCTATTTATTTATTTATTTATCCGTGGATTATGTACATTAAACTAATTTTGAACAATAAGTTCATTGTGCAAGAGTAGTAGATTTGTACTAAAACTAATACTAAAATCTAGTACCCAATATCAACGAAAATTTTATACTTGACATAACCTCTTTTTTGACCACATTTATTCTAGTAATTTTTTTTAAATATTCCAAGTTTTAAATAAAATATTTTTAAAATATGTGAAAAGAAGCAAACTTACCATGTTTGAGACGCTTCAAATAAATGTGGTCAAATAAGAGGTTACGTCAAGTATAAAATTTTCGTTGATATTTGGTACTAGATTTTAGTACTAGTTTTAGTACAAATCTAGTACTCTTGCACAATGAACTTATTGTTCAAAATTAGTTTAATGTACATAATCCACGGATAAATAAATAAATAAATAGAACACACAATAAAAAATAAAAATATAAAATTAAACATTTTTTTTAAATTATACAAATCAAGAAAAAACCATTTTTTTGGTTTTTCATCAAAACATTTTCTTTTCAATAATATATATTTTTACAATTTTTACTCTGGCAAGTACTTGTACTTTAGAAAGTACTTGTACTCTAGTATTCACAAGAGTATTTTATATAATATATTGGAATATATTGGTGGCATATTTGAAAAAAGTGGTTTCATATTCGTATACGAATATAAACCAATGTGTCGCAAATATTTGTCAATAAATTGCGACTATATACACGCAATATCCCCCTAGGATATTCGTGCATCGGTGTATCCATGGTGACACCATGATGGTGCCATACCCATAAGAGGTATGGTATGCAAAAATTTGTTAACTTAATAAATTTTTCCCCAGAGACGTAAATTAAAGTTTAAAATGTGTACTGGGGGGTTTTTGGTACGAGAAAATCGAATCCGGTGTTAGTTTTGAGATAAAATCAAGTTTTAACAGAGTTTTTTTGAAATAATCACAAAAAATTGAATTTTTCTATGGGAGCCATGATTTAAGGCTGCCGTAATGACGTGAAAGTTTGTACAGGCTATTTTTTACACAATAAAATAACATTCTGAAAGTTTGAAATAATTTCAATTTTTTGTACCAAAAATCGAAAATTTTGAATGGGAAGCATCCCTACTTTTGATTGAAATTATTTCAAATTTGTTGATATTATGTATTTCGGCACGAAAATAAGATTCACAAGTTTCCACGGTGATTAAGTCATGTAGTTAGGGCGTTTTTTTCACTCAAAATTGATCGACCTTCTTTCCAAAATGTATGCTTGCAGTAACTTAATCAGTTAATCACAATGAAAACTTGTGGATCTTATTTTCGTTCCAAAATACATATTTTCACCAAATCTGAAATAATTTCAACCACAAATGGAGGTACTCTCCATTTATGACTCAAAAACGGAAATTTTGTATGGGAGGTACCTTCAATTTGTATTAGAATTGCCTCAAACTTTCGGAATGTTATTTTTTCGAAAGAAAATAGCCTGTTTACATATTTTGAATTATTTATGCGTCAATAGTCTATTAATTGGCCAAAAAACTTAACTTCTCTCAGAAATTAGAATTCGGTAGTTATTACTTTTGAATTAGTACTGCACTACCAGTGAATGTTCAATATCTTTCGGAAAATAAATATCGGTAAGGAAAGAAATTTGGAAACAGTGTGGAAAAGTTAGACTTACGGATGATAATTTATCTGAAATGTTTTTATTTTAACAGATACCAATTGTTTGACAGATATACAAAAATAGTATTTTCACTAAATTTAATTATTTTTTTTTTGTATATTATATTTTTAAGAAATGATTCGTTTATCTTTTTTCTACAATTTATAAGAATCACGATACTTTTTTAACAAAAAAAAGAAAAGAAATAAAGAGTCTTACGGGAGTAAGACAAACTTTTCCGCATGGTGGTAGTTGCGTATTTTATTAAGCAAGTTCAAAATAATATTTGTTCGATTTTTCAAGCCTTTCAAGCGGCATAAAGTTCGAGACAAAAAAATATATTCAAACTTTGGCATCGAAATATTCTTTAATTTAATAGCAGAAGTACTCGAGAAAAGATTTTTCACACTTTCATGATGAACCCATTTGTACAACATTAGAAAGTATTTCATTTTCTAACAAAACACTATAAAAAATAAAATGTCTTACATCCGTAAGATGAACTTTTCCGCACCGTGATCCACAATATGCATTTATTATAAATCTTTTACTCAAATAATACAAATAATTTTCGAAGCACTTTTCATACAAAATCTACTAAAAATGGGAATTTTTGTATCGGAGCCATGCCTATATGATATCATAACGACGTGAAACTTTGTACGAGGTATTTTTTTCACAAAAAGCTAACATTCTGAAAGTTTGAAGAAATTTCAATGCTTATTAAGGGTACTTCCCATATAACATTTCGTTTTTGAGCTAAAAATCAAAATTTTGTTCGGGAGGTACCCCTAATATGCGTTGAAATGTCTTCAAACTCTCGGAATGGTATTTTTGTGTGATAAAAATGACCTGTACAACCATTCAGCTCATTACGATATCATACAGGCATAACTTTCATACAAAAATCCAATTTTTTTGAAATTTTTGTATGAAAAGTGTGTTGAAAGTTATTTGTTTCGCAAAACTAACGTCATAATCGGTTTTCTCGTACCCAAAAACCCCCCAATACATTTTTGAGTGTTTAAGTATATATTAAATATCACTTTTGGAAGAAAAATGGAATTTTTTCCATGGATGCACATGGGCATCACACCAGACATGAGACTTCACTCTGTCTCGGCACCCCCAATCATCCTGTGAAGTCAGATTTTGAATTACTTTTCTTGTTTGAAAGTTATCGTGTTAATTTTTGCGTACAGGGTACAGGGTACCACGCACATTAGGGTGGAACATTTTTTGAATTTCGAGTCATATCTTGATGGCCACTTGAGAAAACATGTCTTATAGTCCCCAGATTCAAGATATGAAGGAATTTTCAACTTGCGGTTCCATATGAGACAGCGACTTCAAAGGAAAGGAGGTACATTTTACTTTTTAAAAAAAACGCTAGATTCGTGTTCCCTGGCCCCAAAAACACCCAGAAAACACATTTTTGATGGGTGTTAATCTTTCGACCGATTCCAATACTTTACCTTACACACTAGGTGTGTGCGGAAAAGTAAAACTCTCAGAAAGGGATCAAACCGTTAAATATCCAAAAAAAATTACCCGGGGGTAAATTCGGAAAAATTTGTCTCAGATGTTAGTCAATGTGTGATTATGGTTATTAAGAACCAAAAATATCGCTAAAAAATATAACAAATACAATCACACTATCACTATGAGAACAAATCATTGAGTTGAGGACCAATTATAAGAACAAGAGATAGAACGAAAAATTATAATAAATAAATACACATGCAAATAAAAAGTACATCCATTCATGCATATGTTTTTTCTATGTATTAATTAACTGTGGTATTCAATCTAAGTTTGTCAGTTTTGTAGTGAATTTCAATCGGAATAGTCAGATTCAGACAATATATTTAGCTGTCACCATCTGGATATTACAGCTCATCTGGATATCGTCAGCAGATGATACGAAGTGAAAACAATAGAAGTGATTGTTATAGGTATATAAGCTTGTTATATACTGGTATTACTATAACAATCACTTCTATTGTTTTCACTTCGCATCATCTGCTGACGGCATCCAGATGAGCTGAAATATCCAGATGACGGCAGCTAAATATATTGTCTGGTCAGATTATAATTGAATCAATTCTCCTGTACTTTTTCACATCTAAAATTGAAAAAGTATCGTGAAATATGTAAATTATAAGACAAAGACAAACTTCTCTAGCTCTTTATTTTTTTAAATGAATCTGAAAAGATTCTAAATTTAATTAGCATATTGATCTGATTAATGATTAAAAAATGAATAATAAAATTTCTTTTGCAAAAAGATTATGTTTAAAAATAAGGATTCCATTCATACGAATCCGATCGTCTCATTTCGATGAAGCTCAAATTGGTGTCACCATTTCTGGTCGTCCATTTAGTAGCCAAGAAGACATCATCACGTGTATAAATTGTTATTTTTCGTGCTCCAGCTAACTTGGCACGTTCTGCATTCAACATTGTTAAATTCAAAGCTTCACCAATCGGGAAAAAAAGAGGTATGAATTTGATTTTGTTCAGTTTCGGTGATCGACGAATGAATGGCATAATGTCCTCAATGCTAGCTCTATCAATGTAAAAACGTTCGAGTTTCGTCAGGCCATTTGCTAAGATCTCCATATACTTGGCTTTCGCTCCAGCCAAAATAATTAATTCTCTCAGATTGGTCAATTGAGTTAAATTATAACTCTCGTTTAATCGTCGAATGCACAATAACTCGAGACCTTTGAGTGAGGCTAATAAGGTGCTGAACTCTTCGTCAACTCTATCGACGTATATGTATAATCGCTTATAAAAACCTTGTTCATGGAGTTGATTTAATGAGTCCAAGGGAATTTTCGACGTCTTGGTACAATAAAAATCAAATTCTTTGAGTTCCAATATATCCAATTTTATATTCGAACTCAAAAATATGTTACGATTGTACCACCAAAATTCTGAGGTAGTTGAAAATCTCTGTACATTTGGATTGCGTACGAAAAATTTACGCAGCTCTTCAATTTGACAAGATTTGGGAGGCATCCATTCTAAACGTTCAAGCTTTGGATATTCTTGTAATAACCAATTAAAGTTCCCATTTATTCGATTACCGAGAGCCCAATTTTGAATATAAATCTCTCTTAAATTCTCACATTTTTTCAATATTAAATCGTATAAGTCACCATCAACGCTACAACATTGCTGTTGAACAATTTCAAGTTGGGGCAACAGTTGTTTAAAAAGCTCAACTTTTTCTTTATTAATTATGATACTCGCAAGATAGATGTGTTTAGTTGACTCAAACGCATTTATATGGAATTTATTATATTTATGATAACCAACTGAAATGCACGGCATGAACTTATTGAAACCAGATATTTGAATGCGTTCATTTACAACACTATCTTTGACCGAAAAAACTATGTATGTGTATATTTCATCATGTTTGCAGAATTTCTCAGCCGATGAATAATTTTGTTTGAAATATTCGCCGGCCACTTTGTTCATTCGCTTGCATGTTTGACCGAATGAATACAGGTCTTTCACGTTCAAATATTCAAATATTTCGTCGAAACAATCGATGGTCAAATTGAATATTTTCGGCGGGGATTCGTCGCTTGATGGACCCGCCACCGCATCTTTATTATGATTCTGGTTATCTGCGTTGTACATTTTTTTGCTTTTTCGGCTGATGACGTCACTAGTGACAAATACACACTCTTCATGAAATACTGCACTGAATAAAAGAATAGAAACAGAATAGAACATTTTTAATTAAAAACAAAAACTTTTACAAATATTTACATGAGAAATATGCCCAAATCGATGTAATATGAATGAAAAATTCTTAATGAAGGTATAAGGTGAAATGAATGCAATTCAATGTTTGTGCTACAGCTTTTTCATACCAATAATACTTGTCAAAACCAAGAACGCAAAGAGAAGGATATGATTTTGACACTTGTTGCACTTCAATTTGAAGTTGGCTGTGCTTGAATCACACCGTCATCGTTTCCATTCGTTTCAAACAATTCGCGCCAAGATTTAAATCAAACTTTTTTTTATTTATGAATTTCCAAATTTTTTTTAAGAATTTGTTTTTTGACACAATATCGGTTATCAATCTATGGATCCCCAACATGGGACCGCAAATACAGAGTTATCAAAATAGGTAGTTTAGATGTGTATATTTGGGGTCATTATGCGATAGATCCAAAAAAACCAACATAATATTTATTTCAAATGCATCTTGATTGTACGAAACATCCAACTTTAGCGAGGGTACAAACTTTTCTCCAATTGTTGATAGTTCATTGTGCGATACGTTCAAATACGTTAAATAGAACAATTCCTTTCAATGTACGAATAGTTTGAATCTTATTTCTTGATATATCAATCGATTCAATTTTAATATTGTTTCATTTCAGAAAATTTACTGAAATTTCATAAATTCGTTGCCCGCTGCAGATAAATACCTTAATTTAAAATCATCTGAACAATCCAGGTGCAATGATTGTAATCCCAGGTCCGATACATTTCAACTCCGCATTATGAACACATTGAATAAATTCTTTGGAATTTCTGGCCGCGTACAATTTTCAAATCGCACCTCAGAAAAAATATTACAATCAAATCTATGACGACACATCTCATTTTTGCTTAAGTCAAAATCATTTTCAGATGAGTTCGTCGCACAAACGGAAGTTAAATTTTTTGGATTATCAGTTGTGCGGCTGTAACTAGTAATTTGCTGATATTTTTCACAATATACAATGGCATCGATCGCCAAAATGAATAAAATCAAATGTTTCATTGTTATTTTTTCGACGGTTGACTAACAAAGGGAACAACCGAAAAATATTGCAAATATTTTTCGTAATATGAACTAGCTTTAATCGATTAATATGATACTCGTGTTAAATTGAATCGCAAGTTGTAATGGATCAATTTCAAATTCGATCATTTGAACAGTTTAGGAACTGTGTGTCCATTACAGCAACAACATTAATTATAAGATTATCAACGAAATTATATTATACAAATCTATAGAATTATCTTTTTTTTCCCATTTTCTGCTCCGCTCATAAGTGATAACTTTTAATGCTGAAAGTCGTTTATTTTATCCAATATGAATTAAGTTCCATTTTCAAATTCGATCATTAAATGAAACACATTTTCATGGAAATTAAATTTTGAATTTGTTTGCAGCTTCAAAGCTTACGATTACAGTTGATTCAAACATGATGAGAACGGTGGCATTTCGAAAAATAATATGCAAACTGGTCCAGCTTAATAGCGATAACACCGTCTATCATTGATTCAGTTGGTTTGATTGTGTGCGTGTGTGTTTCACAGTGACGTAATTATACATTCACATCGTGACAGCCAAAGTACAAAGGTGCTTCAAATTTCATCATTAATCGTCGCCATCTTTAGCATAAAGTGCGGACTTGGATTTTTATTTGCGTCACTAAAATTTTGAGATTACATAAAAAACCTTATAGAAAAAGCAACAAATAATTTATTCGGCTCTAGTTTTATTCGACAATAGAACTTACACAACGGTAAGCATAATTTGAAAGCAATTTTGTGTCTTTGATTTTTATATGGTATACTATTCGAGACAGATATCCTACTATTAGCTGTTGTTTTCCTAACAATTTTCGAATCTCACACAGAACGAAATTGGGAGCAGTATTCAGGCTAATTTGTGTATTTTCAATTTTTTCTATTAGAAAATGGCTGATCAAAAAGCGAATTTCGTAGCAAAATGTCAACCAGAAGGAACAAATGAACCAGAGCCAAAGCATCCACGAACTGACGACGGTGAGGGCCCAGCAACCAGTACAACGCAGCTGACGGATGTGGTGGACGATTGTCTTGAGCGTATCTTTATGCATTTGAGTCTCGAAGATTTCTTGAACATTGCACATACCAACAAAGAACTGAAGCCTGCTGCTGACATGGCATTCCAGCGTAAATTTGGCAAGACCGAATTCTATTTATGCGATGAAATTTATTTTGGTTCAGACGATGACATCGTTGAGATCTCCGACAAAAAATCGCAGTTGAGATTGTTGCGTTGTTTTGGTCATTTGATCACCAAGCTAGAGATAGAAGGTGAATTTGCCAAGAAATTGATTGGCTATGCAAATGAATACTGTTTCAATTCGCTAACTGCAATCAACATTGCTGGGTTTGATTACATCAGAAACAACTTGTTGCCGAAACCATTCGCAAACGTTGAAGTTGTTAAATTATTCAACTGCAAATTTTGTGCAGATACGAATTTTAAGAAATGGTTTCCGGCGATACGTCGATTGGAATTGGATTGGTGTTCGACGTTTACTAAGGGAATGTTCATCGTGAAGAATATACCACAATTGGAACATTTGAAAATTTGTTACGACAGCGATATTCGCCCGAAAAATATTTGCACCTCATTGCGAAATAATCCACAATTGCGCAGCTTATGGTTGGGTGGCATTGTTCCACCCAAAGGTTTCTGGCAGACATGCCAAACACTTTCCCAATTGGAATCTATTCAGATTGAATCCGCTGCCAACTTCAAAAATGTTGACACCGCAGTCAATTTTCCTGCGTTGAAAAAACTGGATATTAACATTGAAGAGAATGATCTACGTTTGATGACATCGGAAGAAAATCTGATAACGTTTGGTCAGCTTAAAAACATCACATTACAACTTCCGTTGTGTTCATCGATTAACTCATTAAAATGGTCGAACTTCTTCAAAAAAAATCAATCGATCGAAAAAGTGTCATTTTGGCTACAAAGCGACTCCCGCATCAGCGAAACCATAATGACTGCAGCTGCACAAGAATTGCCACTATTGAAGGAATTGAACCATTTTAGTTATGGTTTCTCGATTGACCAAATATTTGATTTCATCGGAAAGTTCAATGTGATGAACTATAGTTTTCTTCTGAAATCTCGGACTGAATTTGACATTCTGAAAAACCGCTTGGGTGCAGAATGGAATGCATCAATCTATGAAGGCTTTTGTATCAAATTGAATCGTAAGCCATGATGACGAGGATGTGTAAATACGTAATGCAAACAGTTCAAAAACCAAAAAGGAACATTGTATTCAACCATAAGAATCAAACCGAAATCCGAACAACATTTTGATATTTCATAAAAACTGTAGTTAATAAACAGTTTTTTTTCATATGTCATAAGCGTACAAGATCCATTGAATCGCATTGATTGTTGAACTAAATGTATAATCATTAACCGAAAATAAAATGTCGATCTTCTAATAAGAGGATGAATGTTTTTTGTTTTTGATATTTATTCCATCTCATACAACTGTACATTAGAGTGGTTCGATTTTGACATTTTTTCAAGCATCAAAAATCGTACCCCTATAACTTCTGTAGGAAGGTCATAGAAACATGACTATAACATAGAATTCGAAAAAAAATGATTTTTGGTGATGCGCGGCTCCAGGCGGTTTCTTA